ATGCTCGCGTTTAATCAAGAAGGGGTGTAATCCCTGCTGAGAGCTGGGAACGCAGGAGTCTGAACGCCGCCTCTAGACCAGGGCAGTAAAAGCTGCTCCGTGCTCTCTTCTGTTTGTGCCCACAGAGCCGGCACATCACCCCTCTGCCCGTGTCCCTGGGGATTGATTCAGTGGTGCCCTGGGAGCTCAGTCTGCCCTGACACACTGTTGGACACATCCGTGCACCGCCTTCCCATCCAGCCATGCTGCACTGTCTCTGGGACAGCATCTCCTTCCCTACACTCCTCATCTTCCTCATTGTCTTCCTGTTTGTCGCTGACTACATGAAGAACAGAAACCCAAAGAATTTCCCTCCCACCCCCTTCCGCCTTCCTTTTTTAGGGCACATCTACATGATGGACTTCAAGTCTCCCCATATCACAGTGGAGAAGGTACGGGCATGGTGGGCACTGTGGCAGAAGGGACAGAGGGAACTGCACCTACAGGGAAGGGATTAAACCAGACACCTTGGGCCAGCAAGGCAGGCAGGAGGTTTGCCCTCACTGGTTTGCCTGTGTACAAGCTGGGGCACAAATGGGAGTGATCCCTGGGGCAGGGCACATGATCCCACAGTTGCTGTCGCAGCTCTAGGAGCCCTGTAGGACTGAGTTTGGGGCTGGGGGCTGTTTGGTAAGGGAGCACAACAAAAGCTGGAAAAACACAGAACTGAAAACTTAAACCTGGAGAGATTTACTTGACTTATGGCCAATTAACACCAACTCCTGATCAGTGATTCAGGAAATCTGACTGTGCAGTCAGGCAGAGCTTTGAGCACAAATTCTGTTTCCTCTCCCACTCTCAGCTTCCTTTATTTTTACCTGTGCCCTACGACAGGGCTGTCACTGTCCCAACAGACACATTCACTTTAAGTGAAACCCTCTATACTTATTTCCCCTCCTAGTACACTAAAAAATACGGTGACATCTTTGGCATGTCCATGGGCAGCATGAAGCTTGTGGTAGTAAACAGGATGAAGCTGCTGAAGGATGTGCTTGTAAACCAAGGGGAGAACTTCCTTGAGCGCCCAGAAATGCCTATGGAGATGTTCAGCAAAATAGGTGAGTGATCCCTCAGGACATGCACCTCAGCTGGAAGGTCCAGGTGTTGGCCCTGCAGAGGTCTGAGACAGCTGGGGAGAAGGCAGAGCCCTGGAGCTTTTCCACTCCCTGGGGGATCGGCCTTGGCTCACAGGGGGCTGTTTCTGCCAGGACTGATCAGCTCCAATGGGCACTTGTGGAAGGCA